TCCCAGGCCAGATGAGATATATAAGGACTATATGGACTTGCCCGGAAATCCTAGCGAAAGCGCCCAAGAGGCATCCTGAGCAGATGCCCGAACCACCTCAAGTCGCTCCTGTTCGATGCGAAGGAGCAGAGGCTTCCAAACTTCCGGTTAATAGGTTCTGAAATATCTAATACCACTTCCTAATTACCTATCCTTTTCGCACTTTAAGAGTTTAATTAATTTATGTCAGAGCAATTAGGACGAGACTAGCACTGATCGCAGATACAGTTTACTGCTCAGCAAAAGGAGTTGCATATACCCTTAGTGTTTTAACTCTTTTGTCTGTTTTTAGTTCACATTATGCCATTACCACTTTGCATCCAAATGACACAGCTGAGAGGCGTCTGTGGGAAAAAAATAAATTATTCAGTGTTGAGTGTTTATTCTTCTAATTCTTGAGTGTTTGTACTCCCTGTTAAATGGTCAGTTTATATTCAGCCTGCTCATTTCCAAAATGGGTAGCCTTTGTTTTGTCTCGTGAAATGTTTGCCCGTCTACAAAAGGCCCACTTTATTAGAAAACCACCCGGGGGGGGGGTTGGCATTCAGACTTTAAATGGAATAACACTGCTGCTTGTTTCACTGTGAGATCTTGCTCAAACAAGGAAAGCGGGCACATTTTCATCTATCTGCACTGCTGACATTATAAAGCCATGCTTTGAGGCGGATGTGTTTTTTCTGTTTGTTTCTACACTGTGGCATGGCAGGATTAGACACCGTGAAAAACAAAAAAAGCTTCCAAAAACGGGCTAATAGTGTCTTTGTCTGGCCCAATTCTTTGTCCTTGGGAGGCCCATCCCATGGAAATAAAGCACTGTGTCCATTCAGCGGACGTCCCCCTCCACTCCGCACACACCTCAGCACTTCTTTCACACAGTTATTATCTGTAATTGCCTTCACGCTCGTGATTTTATTGATAATGAGTTCCCTGGGCATTAGGTGTAATTTCATGCTGCAAGACTCTGTGTGTGATGACCTCTGTGGGAGTTAATAAAGGAATTAGAGGCGATCAGGCCGAGAGAGGGCTTAATTGTAGAGACCAAAGGGCCTCCAGAGCCCGCTGTATCATAGCAAGTAGTGTTTCTGCTCTGTGACAAGGGCCCTATAGATCCATCAATGCAAATACAACACTGATGTTCCACAGTGAGCACAGGCTTACCATGAAATGAAATTAGGCTGCAATCTATTGTGCAATTATGCCACATAAAAGTGTTTTTGTGTTTGCCATAGGCACTGGAGCCATTAGCACAAACAGCTGGCCACTTGACTACAGAGCCTCCCCATCGTTCATTTGGTGACACCTCAGTGGATCCGTACAAACAAAGCATGACAGTGCTTTTTATTACTGCATCACAGTGTTTTGATTTTGTCTTGTTATGCAGGCCTGAGACCTGGCACAGAGTATGGGATGGGTGTGACAGCGGTGAAAGATGAGCGGGAGAGTCTGCCGACGACCACCAACACAGTGACTGGTGAGATCCTTTTACTTACACAGTTCCTATATAATAGCATTATACGTGTGCCGTTTACTTAAAGGACCAGTGTGTAGGATTTTGTGGCATTAAGTGGTGTAGTTGTAGATTGCGACTCCCTTGCTTCACCCTCCTCTTCCAAGCGTAAAGTAGAAACTACAGTGAATAGGAAAAACATGAACAGCCCTATCTAGAGCCAGTGGGTTTGTCCCTTCTGGGCCACCATAGAAATATGGTGCTTCAACATGGCGGACTCCACGGAAGGTGACCGCAGAGTCTGTAGATAAAAACGTCTAATTCTAACCCATATTAAGGTTATCAATGACTAATGAAAACATACTTAATATTTAATTCCATTTCTGCCAAAAGATGTTTCACATTGGACCTTTAATATTGTGATATTATCATGGTTTCCACTCTTTTAATGCAGAAAAGATTTAATTTCCTCTTTGTTTCCAAATTTGGTAGTAGATTTTTTCATCCCAAGGTTGAAGTGGTTCTTCTGGATCTTTGAGTTTTTAAAAGTTCAAGTTCATTTCATCTGAATATTCTGTCAATCAAACACAGTTTTCCATTACTTTTTCATACTGTAGTTATTCAGTACGGTAATTATTTGACTGTGCAGCCACTCTGGCTTTCACTGCTTCAGCTAACTTCTCAGTTCTTCTTGTCTTAATAATTTTTTATTTTTTTTGGCTTTATTGGATAGTGACAGCTGCAGATAGACAGGAAAGGTGGCTAGAGAGAGGGGATGACATGCAGCAAAGGGCCACAGGTCGGATTCGAACCCGGGCCACTGCAGCAACTCTGTACATGGGTCGCCAGCTCTACCGACTGAGCTAACTGGGCGGCCATTGTCTTACTAATTTAGTAAACAAATTACTGTATGTGTGCCAGAGCTATGGGTTGTTAATACCATGCATTGTATGTGCATTGGTACTTATAGCAAAAGAAAAATTCAGTTAGAAATGTCTCAGATAATTCTCTGTTGTATGATATTTTAAACCACCGTTTAACATTTTTTTAATGTTCACATTTTCTTCTTAGCCCTGGATGCTCCCAAGGACCTGACCGTTGCAGAGGTGACAGAGACCACCATGTTGCTGGAGTGGAAACACCCCCTGGCCAAACTGGACTCTTTCAGACTGGTGTATTTATCTGCCGATGGCCACAGGACTGAGGTCATGGTCCCTGGCACCTCAGAGTCTTACACCCTGAGGGGCCTTACACCTGGCATGCTGTACACCATCAGCATCACTGCCGAAAGGGGTCGCAGGGCCAGTGCACCCACCACAATCTCAGCACCCACAGGTCAGTACTGCAAATACAAACCTTCCATTTTCAAAAGCAACATTTCTAAATAAGCCGTAGTGTCTGAAATGTCTGGGAGGAAATAAAGCAACACAGAGGACAAATGTCTGGAGGTTTATAGTTGTCATGTTGGCATTTACTTCGTACACATTTCAGATACTTTACTCTGTATTACCAGCAGTCGCTATGTTTTGTACAATCTCACCACCTCCCTTATCATACAGGGTCAATTCATCCAAAAAGAAAGAAAATATTTCCTCACTTACAGTGGGTACGGAAAGTATTCAGACCCCTTTAAATTTTTCACTCTTTGTTTCATTGCAGCCATTTGCTAAAATCAAAAAAGTTCATTTTATTTCTCAT